TCAGGAGCTCTCTCCCAGACCCAAGATAGTGACTGAGATGGCTGGATTTTTGGTTCCTCGTCCTGACACAAGCAGCCATCGCAAATATTATCAACTTATAAATGCATCAGAATCTGAAACAGAAAAAAATATTGTTAGTTGGGTTGTTAAAGAATGAAGTCAGAAAGCAATGTTCACTATTTAATTGTAATGCACTAATGCAGCTGTACGTTAGATTTTCGATAAATTTCACGCTAAAATTTACCGAGCAAAAGGTTGCAAAATATTGAAACTGAAATTATTTTCTGTTTATATACACTAAAATCTACCAAAAAGTGATGGGCCATTAGTTTTAGCTGATCTTCCCTCCTATGACACACCCTATATATATATATATATATATATATATATATATATATATATATATATATATATATATATATATATATATATATATATATATATATATATATATATATATATATATATATATATATATATATATATATATATATATATATATATATATATATATATATATATATATATATATATATATATATATATATATATATATATATATATATATATATATATGTAACCGGTCGGAATTTACTGGACTTTATTTTCTCACTTGACTTGGGGTTTATTAAAGATTATAAGATGGTAATGGCAGTGGAAGCGCCCCTTTGAGAAAAATCCCGAACCAGCACAAGAACACTTAAATCTACTAAACAAAATGAATTGTCCGTGACCCGTGGAAGGATAGCGTCTGTGACTGGGATGAATGAGACACACTGTAAAATTTAGACACTTATATTCCCTCCAAGACTACAAACACAATCAAATAATGGTACACCAATATGCGCACCTCTTAACTTGAACTTAAACACTACTCTGGGGAATAAAAGTTATACATGATATAGAAATTATTAGAAAATCAGGCAACAATAAATTTGAAGTATTAAGAAATGTTGCTTGCACACATGAAACAGGCCTTAAGGGCTTTCACAAAATAATATCAGTCATTTAGGAAATGGTATTAAAAATAAGAAATTAAATACTCTACAATGAATAGGCCTTAAGGGCACTCAACAAAATTATATCACCCCAACAGATGCACTCTTCCTAACCTAACTTAAACACTACTCTGGGGAACAAAGGTTATACCTGAGATCAGAATTATGGAGAAAATTTTGATGCATTAAAAGAATCAAACCCCAGTATCACTCTGGTTCCACTTAATGACACAATCATTCAAAAAACACTACTATCAAATTTATTTAAGAAATATTAAACTACACACGTCAAGATAATATCAGTCTGAGAAATGGTATTAACTACACCCGTAATACGGGAGATAAAATGTTCCTCTAGGTATCTCCTAGAGTCCTAGACTCCCGGTCTCAGTGTGTGACCATTAATTTAGTCAGATAGCCTCAGTGTACTCCCAGTGCGTCCATAAAGCGGAAGGGAGTGAGCCAATCAGACCTTGTACAGCTGAAAGAAGCGTTAGCTTCCCGTTAGCAAGAGGGTTTCACTAAGCTGCTCGGGACATGTGGTGTTGTGAGCCGAGGTAGAGGAGAGCTGCTGACCCACGATCGTCCCGACGTCAGCTGGGCACCCAGACGGCTAGATTCCCTCAAGAGATCCTTTGGTACCCCGCTAAAAAGTGACAAGCCTACTCTGATCGGTCCAATGGCGACAATCGCCACCCTCAATCATCAACGGCAGTCTCAGACGGCAGTCAATCTCTCGCGGTCAACTCCGGTCAAGTGGGTTCTGACGGAAACCCTGAAATGAACTCACTGTTAGCTCTAGTTTACTTTACCACTGCCCTATCTAACCCTGTCTGAGATCGAATGAGACTTACTTGTTATACTGCAATAGCGCAGCACAGGTGACTAGGCCACGTGACTATTTCTGAGACGGACGCGCAGGGACGTCTTGTATGTCTGACTGCTCCCCGTGACTGAGAGAGAGCCAGCGTCTCGTCCTCTCAAGGCGTTAGCTTAGGCCTACGTGACATATTTTCCGCCTAACTAATAACTCCTTGGGACACCCGTAACATTATTCAGACTGATAAACGATCTATAATAATTTGAAATTCAATAATAGTCCCTTAACTTCATGAATCTCATCATTATTAATTGGGTAAATTACATTTAATATCATATAGGCCTAGTTCCACCATCTCTCTCTATGAGCAGGAAGCGCTCTCTTCCCTCCCATGACCTTGAACGCTCAGTGTTGCCAATGGCGGGGCATTCGAAATTACTCTGAAATTTCTGAATATTACATATATATATATATATATATATATATATATATATATATATATATATATATATATATATATATATATATATATATATATATATATATATATATATATATATATATATATATATATATATATATATATATAGATTGTGTTCCAGTATGCTGTAAAACATACACTAGACACCTTACGTGCACAGATTGACCAATAATAAGTCATTTTATGTAAAAAATGCTTTTGGTTAGGCAAATTTGGCAGCCATCTTGGAAAATGGCTTCCATCTTGGAATTTTTAATGTCCAATAAGATAGATTTGATATATAACCCATATTGAATATTCATACCATGGTTGTATGATCATTTGCATGATTGTACCACTATTCCTAATAACGATAAGGTACCCAATCCTTAACTCCCGTCACCTCATTGGTACGGATGAAAACTGGAAGAACATACACGATTTACTGTTATGATCAATCAGTTGCCACCACCTGATGATATAATTCATCTGGTCAAATGTAGATGTGTCAAAACTGGTCTGAACTGCCCTTATTTATGTAGCTGCTGTGGCACTGAGAACCAAGAATATGAACAAGTGAACTTTATAAGTGGATGTGATGATGATGATAATAATGACGATGATGATAACTCGGTACAAGGAAGTTACGATGATGAAGGCAATCATAATTATGATAGATACAAGTATATTGATTAGAAACGTTAAGTCATGGAAGTATAAATAATAATATTCTGTTTTTAGTCCGTGATGTTCTAGTTCTCGGTGTGTAGACCGCATCAGATTTCAGCAGCCCAACAATGAACACTTAGACTCTCACATGGGAATATCTGTAAATCATACAACATTATATTCACTATATATTTATGATGCATTTACTACCTCATACACACATAACCTATTTGGTCACTGGAAGTTAAGGTTCTAAATACTGTTTTCTAAATTATTGGAATAATTTAATCAATAAACAAAATTACCCATTTTGAAAAAACTATTGCATTAAATCATTGAATTACCATAATAATAAAGCAAACCTCAGCCTATCGATCTGTGTAGTGTCTTAGAGTTGACCCTCAAACTAATGCAGTGTTTAGGCCACAAGATATAAATATGAAACACAGAAAATATTATAAAATCTTAGTCGCCAAGCCACTTCAATTCATCACACTGTTTAGCACTATTTGGTGATATTATCCCACTGCTGCCACCTTCGTCGTAACTTAGCATGCCGTGCTTTTAAGTGAGTTGAGCATGATCTAGTGCAGGGGTTCTCAACCAGGGGGGAATTCGCCCCAGGGGGGGGAATTCAGGTTTTCAGGGAAACTGATTCGGGAGCACGAGATATATTCGATGAGAAATCAATCACAGAATTTTGTCCTTGATGTGCGATTCCTACCCAAAAGTGGTAGAAAGAGCTATCCGTGCATTGCTTCCGTTTGTGTCGACATATCTTTGTGAGTCAGGCTTTTCAACTCTGTTGCAAATTAAAACGAAGTAACGTAGTAGATTAGAGGTAGAAAATGACCTGCGTTGTGCCCTTTCAAGCACTCCTCCGCGTATCCCAGAATTGGCGAAGAAAAAACAATCACAGGTTTCTCATTGACTGTAATCTTCATCCGAATAAAATTAATTACAAATTTACAATATCCTGGTACCGGTATTCTATTGAACTTTTTGTTTATTGCATTATGCTTCAGTTTGGTCTGTTAAGTAATTCATTATAAAAAAAAAAAAACTATTTTACTTTTATTCAAGTTTTATAAATCCATCAACATTTTCAATTGGCATTTAATTTGTAAAACTCCACTATAAAAATAATCCATGTAAAATTGTTAATGTATATGTACTAATATGGAAAAAATAAAGGATTTTCAGTATTATATGCATATTATTTGGAATGCACTTTTTGAGGCAGACAATCTTGGAAAGGAGGGGGGAATGACATTCTGACATATGGTGAAAGGGGTGCATGGGGCAAACAAGGTTGAGAACCACTGATCTAGTGTTTAGCACAGTACTGTGTGATAGTCCTCAACTGATGGCAACTCTGGGAATGGTTTCCTACTTAAATGTTCACTACCACCATCCCCCAATGAGGAGAGGATCAATAAATAACAGAATACTAAATTGTATCAACATATATATATATATATATATATATATATATATATATATATATATATATATATATATATATATATATATATATATATATATATATATATATATATATATATATATATATATATATATATATATATATATATATATATATTTACATATAGATGAGTATTTCCAGTGTTTCAGATTGTGCCTTGTGTTTATATGAAATTATGAGTTTTCTCTTTTTGTATAATATTATACTAGGTTGATGTACAATGTTTATAAGGGTTAGAGACACGCAAAGTAAACATCACTTGACTTGTAATAATTAGTACTATCAACATCTTGCTGGCTCCTAAGGGGAACTTCTGATTCCTGCATAGTGTGTGGAGGACTGACCTCTTCCCTAGGTGCACATTCTTTTAAAACCTCGATTATGTTGACCCTAAAGTAATGTGCCATATGGGGTATTCTAGGCCAGTCATGTCTTGGCCCTTCACCAACTCTTCCATGTGGTGGGCACGTGATTGGAATGTTCCTGAGGAAAAGTCACAAACAAATATGCTGATTCCAATAGTAATGGCAAATTCCCTTACCTGAACACTGTTCTATCCACCACCAGTACACTGTCGTCATGCGGTAACTCATTCGCGTGTGTCGTCTGGGAGGACTTCTTGAAGAAGCGGCCCTACTTCAGCAGACTGAGTGATGTCGGCGCCACTAACGTCGTTAAGATTCTGTGTAAGGACTGCCTCTTCCTCCTTTATCATATCCGTGTTTAATTTAATCTTTCTACTCTACTGTCCTTTATATTTTGCTCAACTTCATCTAATTAGTGTTTTTTTTTAGGATTCAGCAACGTGGTACACCTTAACCTGAAGGATATGAAAACTTTGTTTCATACGACACCTCGTTATAAAAACTGGAATGTTTTTGTTAATTTTTTTTTAATACGAATCTGGTTGGGCTTTTATGGCTCAAAAAATCTAATCAAACTTCCCTCGATTGTCTCTTAGTAACTACTTTGGCATTCAGACAGTTTATAGAGGATAAGAATGACAGTTTAGAGAGGATCAGACAGAATTCTTGCAGAGAACATCTCTGATCACCATGAGGAATTTAGAGCCAACCTGCAAAACGGACAGCAAAATGGGTTGTTATTGTCCTCTGTTACGGAAAATACATTATTGACCATCATAAAAATGTCCAAAGATGCAGCAGCAGGTGACGACAATATACCAATGAGAACCAATATAAAAGTAGCCCCTGTTCTCCTACACATTTGTAACTCCTCCATCACTAGTGGTGTCTTTCTTGATAAACTGTAAATTGCTAAATTTCATCCAGCATAAAAAAAAAATCTGGTGATAAAGATCTTTAAAGAATTCCCGCCCCATACCAGTCCTCCTTATGTAGTGACAGCAACATCCTTACAGATTCTAAGCTTGGATTTAGAACAAAAAGGTAAACTGACAGTGCCTGTTCTTTACGAATGACATCTTGAACTCCTTTGATGACAGTCAGTTCACAGTCGGAATATTCCTGGACCTCTCAAAGGGTTTGATACTGACGACATACCATCCTCATGTTAAAGCTTGAACATCCGGCATTATGGCTAATCCCACAGTTGTTTTACTCGTATCTGTCTAACAAGAGCAGTATGTCTGCCATAACACTCGTCAATCTCACTCCTCACCTATTTTGTATGGCATTTTGTATGGTGTCTTGCAAGGCTACATTCTCGGCCCAGTACTGTTCTTGTAAACAAACAAACTGGAGTCCACGCAAGCTCATTCGTAAAATACGAATTATTTGCAGACGATAGTGACCACTATGCCAATCAATCAGACCTCCATTCCTTGATGAGAACTATGAACACTAAATTGACTAAAGTCAAGACCTGGGTAACACGTAATAAACTGACCTTAAACCTCAACAAAACCCACTACACGATCTTTCACAGAAGGAAAAAACTTACCCTCAGACCTGGACCCCCTGTACCTTGGGTAATACAGTCTTCAAACGCGAACAAAATACTAAATTCCTCGGAGTTATTGTTGATGAGAAACTTAACTGGAGAAACCACATACAAGCCATTCAAAGTAGAGTCAATAAACAGTGCGGTATATATATATATATATATATATATATATATATATATATATATATATATATATATATATATATATATATATAAATATATATATATATATATATGTAATATTCAGAAATTTCAGTGTAATTTCAAACGCCGCGCCATTGGCGATACTGAGTTTTCAAGGTCGTCTGAGGGAAGAGAGCGCTCCCCGTACATAGTGAGAGGTTGTGCAACTAGGCCTATATGAGATTAAATGTAATTTCCCGAATTAATAATGATGCGATTCATGAAGTTAAGGGACTATTATTGAATTTGAAATTATTATAGATCGTTTATCAGTCTGAATAATGCTACGGGTGTCCCAAGGAGTTATTAGTTAGGCGGAAAATATGTCACGTAGGCCTAAGCTAACGCCTTGAGAGGACACGAGGCGGGCTAGCTCTCAGTCACATGGAAGCATTCGGACCAACAAGACGTCCCTGCGCGTCCGTCACAGAAATAGTCACGTGGCCTAGTCACCTGTGTTGCGCTATTGCAGTATAACATTGTAAGTCTCATTCGATCTCAGACAGGGTTTAGATAGGGCAGTGATAAATTTAACAAGAGCTAACAGTGAGTTCAATTCAGGGTTTCCATCAGAACCCACTTGACTGCAAGAAATTGACTGCGAGAGTGATGACTGCGAGAGATTGACTGCCATTTGAGACTGCCGTTGATGATTGAGGATTGGCGATTGTCGCTGTTGGACCGATCAGTGTAGGCCTATTCAGGGTGGAGTTAATAAGCTCTGATTTTTATACCATTTTCTCAGTGCTGGATATAATTTTGGTGAGTGCCCTTAAGGCCTATTCCTTGTAGAGTTATTAATTTCTTATTTTTTTAATACCATTTTCTCAGTGATTGATATTTTGTTGAAAGCCCTTAAGGCCTGGTTCATGTGTGCAAGCAACATTTCTTAATACTTTAAACTTATTATCCTCAAATGAAGCATTGCCTGAGTTTCTAATAATTTCAACATCATGTATAACTTTTATTCCCCAGAGTAGTATTTTAAGTTCAGGTAAAGAAGTGAACATATTGGTGTACCACTATTTAATTGTGTTTGTAGTGTTGGAGGGAATATAAGTGTCTAAATTTTACCGTGTGTCTCATATATAGCGTCTGTGACTGGGATGAATGAGACACTGCCTGCAGATGCTCTGGCCACCTATTCTTTTCCTCTTCCTCGAGGGTGGCCAGCAGACCGTGCAGGGTTCGATTGAACCGTTCCACCATACCATTTCCCTGTGGGTGATATGCTGACGTCCTTATTTTCTTCACCCCAAAGGTGGCACAAGTTTGTCGGACCAATACACAGCCAAAATTTCTTCCCTGATCGGTCAACAGTCGCTCAGGGGCACCCACTGCCAGGAAGATCCGATTCCCCAGGATCTTTGCAATCGTCGAGACTTTCTGGTCTTTGGTGGGAAAGGCCCAAGTGTAACGACTGTATATATCAACCATTATCAGGACACTCTCCAATCCTTGCCGCTTGTCCAGCAAGGTGAAATCTGCGGCCAGTGTCTCTAATGGTTTGGCAGCTTCAATCGTCCCTAAATGAAGCTGGAGTTTCAGCACTTCATTGTTTGCTATTCCACACCTCTCGCAGCTGGCTATGTAGTCTCGCACTGTTTCTCCCATGCCTGGCCAGAAACCTCGCTCCTGCACCAGCGACAGAGTGCGATCTCACCCCTGATGCCCAAACTCGTCGTGGCAGGCTCTAGTCAAAGCCTCCTGCAAGTTTCGAGATAACACTGGCCCCTCCCTCCATAGATTCTTCCCTTCGGGTCTTCTATGCCAGGCAACCTCTTCTCTTACGATCAGGGATTTCCTAGCTCGGTACATCTTGCGGAAGTCATCATTTTGGAGCTCTACCTGTACCTCGTCCTCCGGCAGCTCTACCTGTACCTCGTCCTCCGGCAGCTCTACCTGTACCTCGTCCTCCGGCAGCTCTCCCGCAAACCATCTTCGCAGTTTTGTCATATAGTCCATGCCTTCTTGCTCCTTACGCAGCCCATCCATCGTCCACAGTTCCTTCCTTCCTGCCCCGTTCTCCTCTACTACATGCATAGCTGTATACTCTTTTTCGCTATCTTCCTCGTGTTCCATCGGGATTCTAGATAGAGTATCCGCCACAATGTTGTTTTTCCCCGGCTTGTACTCTATAGTAAAGTTAAACCGCTCGAGATCCGCATGCCACCTACTTTCCACGGCACCTAGCTTAGCCTTCTCTCGGTGACTGAGTGGGTTGTTATCTGTATAGACCGTGAAGTGTTTCCCCGCCAAATAATCCCTGAATTTATCCACTACTGCTCATTTGAGTGCTAACATCTCTAACTTACGAGAACTATAGTTGTTCATGTTATGTTCTGATTTCCTCAAGCCCCGACTTGCATAGCACACCGGATGCAACCTGCCATCCTTCCGCTGGGACAGCACCGCACCTAGCCCACTAAAACTTGCATCTGTCTCTAATATAAACTCCTGAGTGAAATCTGGGCTAGCCAACACCGGTGTCTGCGTCACCCTGTCTTTCAGTTTCTCAAAAGCCTGCTGCTGTTCCTCTCCCCACTCACTATCTACCCGATCCTTAGAATTCCCATGCATCAACGCATGCAGTGGAGCAGCTATTTGGGCAAATCCTTTAACAAATTTCCTATAATATGATGTGAACCCTACAAAAGACCGCACATCTTTCACCGTCTTTGGGACTGGCCAATCTCTTACTACCCTAATTTTCTCAGGATCAGCTGTGATGCCTTCAGCTGACACCTGATATCCTAAATAACTTACTTTGGAAGCTATTATTTCACACTTTTTATGTTTAAATCTTAAGTTATTCTCCCTCATCCTGCAAAATAATTCCCTCAATCTGACTATATGCTGATCTATTGTACTTGAAAACACCATCACATCATCAAGGTATAAAAGCAACGAGGAGAAATCTTATCATCTAAAATCCGCTCCATGTATCTCTGAAAGGTTCCCGGAATATTTGACAATCCCATAGGCAGTCGCCTGTACTCAAAGTGTCCGAAGCTTGTGCTGAAGGCAGTCTTTGGACGGTCTGAAGGTTTTACTTCGATCTGGTGATATCCTGCTGCCAGATCAAACGTTGAGAAAAACTGGGCCCCCGTCAGAGATTCTAGAGTTTCAATTATCCTCGGCAGAGGAAACGCATCGCGTACCGTGACCTTATTTACGTCACGATAGTCAATGCACAACCTCAGCGTCCCGTCCTTTTTACTCACTACTACAATGGCGGCAGAGTACGGACTCTCACTAAGCTGAATTACTCCCTGATCTAACAGCTGGCTAATGTGCTGCTTCACCTCTCGTACCTGGTTTGGAGGGATCCTCCGGTATGGCACCCTAACTGGCCTGTCTGTAGTCACTGGGATCTCATGCTGAACCCCAATAGCCTTTCCTATGGGCTGGCCTTCCCCTTCAAAAATATCACTAAACTCCTCTATTAAACCCCTAACTGCACGCTCTTGTTCCTCATTCATTTTCTCCGTGTGCACTTTGACCTCCGTACGGGCATCCGGTTGAACTGTCCTCACATACACCTCCTCACTGATGTCTGCCTCGACTTCCGTCCCAG